CTGTTTGCAAGTGGGAGAAATCTTTGGGAGAAATCTGTGGTAAAATGGTATTTATTAATTTTGTGTTTTCTTTTTTCTTTACGCAATATTCTTTCTCTGTTTATATTTCTGAAATGAGACATTGTAAATATTTACATCGTTCGGGATATTGCCCCAATATTTATTGTTATAGAATTAACTGATACTGCGATATTCAAAAAGGGAATGAACTGATACTGACATATAAAAAAATGTATGACACGTGGAATTAGAACACTCTACCGCGGTGGACTAAAATAAAGTGTTATATAAATTATGATGTATATCACCTGAAGAAGGTCGGATCGTACGAAACGTCGTGAATATGGCAATAATGATAGAACAGTCCGAACGATGTAAATAGTCGATATTCTTTGTTTCGTACTTTCTGGTGTCTGACTTATCTAATTGTGTTATTTTAATCAATAACTAAAAATCGATAATCGAACCTAGGTAAAATCCACCGTAGGAAAATTTTAAGACAGCCAAGAAGGCCTTCCTCACATGGAATTTCGATACAATTCAGCCTTCAGTATAATCCAGCTTTGATGTTTTGTAATTATATAAGCTTAAATTCTTTGAAAGGAAATCGACCTTTAGGAAATTCAGTATTTATCAGTTTATAGCGTGGTTTGAAATTCCGTATCATCATATTATCACTCTGCTTGTTCCTTATTTCTTAGCACGTACGTTACGCCTTGCCATTAGATAAACAATGGTCCATTTCTCTTTGATTACGTGGATAGACCTGGAATAGCTTACTTGTCCCCTGCCCACAAAGCGGAATAAATAATATATCAAAGATGCCGTTTGGTTTTAGGGAAAGGAAGAGAAAAGAAAGAAAAAAAGAAAAGAAAAATAAAGACAATATTAATCCTCCCATGTGTTTAACATTTGCTTTTTGAGAAATGGAAAATTATATTATATTATAAATCTTTTAAATTTATACCCTCTTATTTTAATTATAACCTGCATCCATACTTACTAGCTGTACCTGTGGAAATTCCACAGAGTTTTTGTAACACTGATATTTAGATTAAATTATAAACGTAAGTAGCATTTACTCGCCGTCAGGATTAACGTTAGAAATAAATTACTTATGCATGCTTTGCAATTTTAATTACTCGTGTGAAAATACTTTTGACATGGAGTTCTTAAACACTAGGTGGGAAAGAGGGGGTCTGAAAGATAAATTTACTTATCAAAAAATATTTACAACTACAGCTTACACTTCTAAATATTCATTTAATAAATATCTGCTGTTTTAACGTTCGCTTCAGTGAAATATTTCTCAATTTAAAATCTTTAAAATGATACCCTCTTATTTTAATTATGACCTGCATTCATATTTATGATTGTTAATGCAATTGCCGTATCGTATGCAAATTAGATAGACAAGGATAAATAGAGAACAATTGGCGAACAGGGGCTATGCCTAGGAAACCACTACTACGCAGAGAGATATGGGAAACATAACAGCAACATTTGGTTAAAGTTGTTAAGCTCAAATATTGAGCGATGCAATGGGAGAATTTCCAAAAAGATTTTATAGTCATAGAATTAACTATGAACTTTTTTATTCCTTAAATATTATGATACATCAGAAAATTCAAATATTCACAAGTATTATTAATTAATATTAATTTGTTTTAAATAATAACCTGCATTCATTTTTAAGATTGTTATTGAAATATTTAGTTAAAGTTGTTAAGCTCAAATATTGAAATTTCCAAGAATATTTTATAGTCGTAAAATTAACAATGAACTTTTTATTCATTAATTATTATGAAAATTCAAATAGGAAAACCGTGAACTATTCACAGGTATTGGTAATTAATATTAATTTGTTTTGTAATTACTAAAAAATTCCCAGATATTCGTACATGTAATGAATACTTCTAAATCATTTGCAAAGGAAATAGCATAAATTTTACAATTTTCAGTCGACATAAATAAAATTTTTCAAGAGTCGCAAATGAAACACCTGGCAGAGGACGAACATATGTTGTATCCACAAAGTCTTCGTAGTTGCATGCCATTCAGTCTATTTTCTCATTGTCCATCTTTTTGATGTTGTCTGCTTTTAAATGATCGTTTTTGCTATTGTGAAATTTCATTTTGACCCTTAATTAGATTTGACTAATAGTAATTCGTTCGCTTTATGTAATAAGTCACTGAGCGCATGGTGTCTTCCATTAGACACATCAACTAAAAGTTGTACTTATCATGTTTTCGGGAACACTAATTCGCAGAATATCACTCCCAACACAGAATACGAGAGAAATCGTCACGTTGTCAAGTGAGAAGTGGAAAATACGTCAGGTAACTGGAAAGTCCTCGACTCACCAAAATCTTACCAAATTCCTAAACATCAGAATTTATTTTGGAATCCATTCATAAGTCGAACAAGAAGTTTTCAGCACTCACGCACTACAAGGGAGCGTATATTTATGCCCAGTGAATGTATATACGAGGGAAAGGTCTTTAATCAAAATTACTGCCGAGTTCATAAATACCCCATATACATATTTATATTTCTATACATATTTGCTTATATATATATATATATATATATATATATATATATATATATATATATATATATATATATATATATATGTAGAATTGAAAGTTTTCGTGTTTCGAACTTTAGGCCTTCATCGAACAAGTGATATTTCCGTTGATGTGACTAAGAAACGAAGACAAAAGGCGTCATAAATTTTCCTAAAAATTTTTCTGATATATAAAAAATTATATATCGTTTTCCCATAATTCTTTTACATATATATATATATATATATTTATGTGTATGTATGTATGGATATATATTTGTGTGTTTTAGATATATGTACATATATGTATGCGTATATTAACCACTAATATTATATATATATACCCACGATACACTCAAAATCCTAATGTACAGCCAGTTAGATCAGAGCTACAGGAATGTGGGACGCCCATGGCTAAGAGACAAGCAGAAAAGCAACTTGTCAGCTCTCAATATAACACATAACACCCTTGAGCGCTTAGCTTTGGAGCAGGTAGAATGGAGATCAACGTGTTTTAGTAGACTCAACAGTTTTCAATCTGCTTGTCTGAATCATCTTCAAGAAGCGAGAGCAAGAACTAAAAGGTCAGCCAATCTAAGAGTGATCTAATCTCACAATCCTCACTCTTGCTCTATATGTGGCCTCCTTTGTAAATCACTAGCGGGTCTTAAATGCCACATAAGATTATCGCACAAAATTTCATAACTGAATCAACTAAGCTGTCAGATCCTCATACGTCGAAACCGAGGGGAGAGTCCATATATATATATATATATATATATATATATATATATATATATATATATATATATTATTTTGTTTTAACAGTATTAATATCATCTATCAGCTTGCTTACTTGTGAAGGGTAAAGTATAATTGTTTCTTTGTTGTGTAGCTCTACGTTGCCGAGATGTAAAAGAAAGCCGGATCAGAGGATGATTCTTCTGAAAAGGGAGACCAAGGCTCGAATCCTTCAGAAAGGCAAATGTTCTTTATTAATTTTGATACTCGTGTACGTACTTAGGTACAAAAAAAAATTGTTTAAATTAAATGGTGTGTCTAGTCATATACATGTATCCTTGAAAAATAATAATAAAGTAATAATAATAATATATATATATATATATATATATATATATATATATATATATTAGCTCTGTCTCTGATATTGAGCGCATATAATATATAAATAATAATATATATAATATATTACACATATATGTATATTTATATTTATATTTTATATACACACACTTTTCACACACACACACACACACACACACACACATATATATATATATATATATATAATGAAGTAAAGAGATAGTTAATTTAGTTCAAAAGTTATTTTTCACAATTACGTATGTAAAATCCCATAATACCATAGCAACTCGTATATATATATATATATATTAGCTGAAGTCATAAATAGTTCACGTATTTCTTTACCAACTTTATTCTTCAAAAAAATAAAGTACAATTATATTTTATTCAGTGATATATTCACCATTATTTGAGCTTTTGCCATTTATCAGGCGACTGTTCGATACCTTTTGAATAAAATTCCGCAGGCTTTGCTGCGCAAGTTTTCGGACTCTTAAATCTGTTTTTATTAGATAAAGTTTTCCCTAGTCAAAGTGCTTTGAGATGATGCCAAAAGGTCGTGCGAAATCAGAAGAATATAGTGGGCGGGGGAGAAACAGATCAATAGAGTTTCAAAATTCATTCCTTTGTTATTTTTCCTGTATACATCCTTGTGTTGTTTTGTAGGAAAACATTTTTCCTATTGACGAGCACAGAACACGTTGTAGTTGCTGGAATTATAAATGTGCATTTAGGGTTACATTTTGTTTTAAGAGCTCTAAATGAATGTATTTACGATACAACAACACGCACAACATTATTATTCTTCCATGGGGCTCAGTTTTTTGTATGTATGTATATTTGTGCAGCAACCTTTCTTTCAAACATTTTTTATTAATTACGGCTGACAAAGAAAATTTAATTTATTATTAAGATTTTCCAGCATCCTTACGTTTTTGAAATCAATTACTATCAGCCGCACTTTATTTATCAGTGGAAATGGAGTGTTAAAAGCTTTTTTTTTTAAATTAGAAAGATGCTCACGCGAATTCCAGCCGCGCACAATATGTGAAGGCTCGGAATAAACGCTCCTACACAAAAATAAATTACGACGTAAAAGTCAAAATATGAAGGAAAAATAACAACACCTGAGACAAAACAATTTTTCTGTTACGCTTGGGGAGTAATTAGAAATTCTTATTGCTCAAAGTAGAGACCAATAGTGTTATAAAACCTCGGAAAATTCCAGTAAATCTTTAATCCTTTCTAAGATACTATGTTTCAAAGCATAATCTAACAAGTCGACAATTTTGCTGTTACGCGATTTGGACAATTTTGCTGTTACACCTAGTATATATATATATATATATATATATATATATATATATATATATATAGAGAGAGAGAGAGAGAGAGAGAGAGAGAGATAGATAGATAGATAGATAGATAGATAGATAGATAGATAGATAGATATAAGAGAGAGAAAGAGGGTGAAAGAATGACCAGAAGGGTAGAGAGAGAGAGAGAGAGAGAGAGAGAGAGAGAGAGAGAGAGAGACAGAAAGACAGAGAGAGAGAGAGACAGAGAGAAAGAGAGAAGTAGGTGTATGTAGTAAAGGCCATGTTTATTCAGCCTGTTTCAGAATATTTTATTTAGAAAATAAAAAAGAAATAGAAACGCTTCCTCTCAAGGCAAGTTTAAAATCTAACCACGAAATATAAATCATGAGAGAATAAAGCTCAAACGGACGTTAGTGTGGGAAAAGGAGGGAGATCTGCCCCTAAAAATGCTTTTGGAAATTAACACGAACACCGGACTGAACTCGGTAACCCCAGTGGGATATGTGATCACTTCAAACTTTCCCACAACAACGTTCGGTATTTTTCCTTACCTGACTTCGACGATACAATGAACTGGAAGTAATAATATTCAGTTTGGAGTGGTGCTTTTGTATTCATATCCGATTTTTTTTTCTTGTTGACATCCCTATTATTTCAGTTTTCAAGCAGGTGAATAGTTTATTATTGGGAAAGAAGAAAAATTAAATAGCATCATTTTCAGTATTATTTTTTCTTTCATTTATGTTGCATGGATGTCTTAATTCTTTCTCGGAACCAACCCCTTTCAAGAGTCTTTATTATTCTTCCAAGTGCGCTTGTATTTATGGTTGCAACTGTCATCTTCATATATAATAAGTTTTTATTCCTCTGGAAAGATCCATATATTATTCGGACTTTTTATTCCCATTCACTTTCAGTCACTAGTCTTTCTGGATGAAGGATATATATTTATTAATCTTTTATTAATGTTGTTTTTTTTTTTTTAATCTTAATTACAGATGCTCATTATCACAACTCTTAATTCATCATTTCACGGTCATTAGTCAGCAGCGTGGGCCAGAAATAAAGAATAATGTCTGGAAATTGCATTTGCCATCTCCAGATGCGATTTACGGGTAGCAGTTAACATCATTGGAATTGGAATCGACAAGCTGAGTTCGAATTTCCTCTTAGTCTATTGCATTCACTTTCACATTACTGTGGAAAAGTATGAAATCAGTCTTTCTTCCATCAGTTATAAGTTAAACTAGCAGCATAACCCGTCATTGACCGGGTCTTTCATTACTAGGAATTTTTGCCGTTCAATTGGAGCAGTTTAAGTTTAAAGTCAACCCACCTGAAAATCAACATTACTAATAACATTTGGGTGCAACTGAGGCATATCCTCAAATGCGGGGTTAACAATCTGAATGGAGGGGTGGGGGCAAAAAAAGGGAACTGTATAATAATAAATAATATTATTGTAATAATTTAAACTATTTATTTTTATTAAAGTTTTTTATGAAAGATATATATCGAAGAATAGATAATAAATAGTAAATGTTGCTGAGAGTTATAATGGGCAGGAAGTAGTGGACAGCCATTGTCACCAACAATTTGGACTCAAAACCAACACTGAAGAATTATCTATCAAAGAAAAAAAATCATCGAAATCGGATGAAAACTGTGGAAATGCATAAACAACATCCGATCACACACACACACACACATACACACACACACACACATACATACACCCACACATTTTGAGAATTATAGATATAAATAGCAAAATATGCTGAACTCTCTAACCTTAAGAGGCCACCAGACTAAGAGAATTCCAAACTGTGAAACCCCACCACTGTCTTTCTCAAGAAAGCATGGCAATTCATCGATAGTACAGATAAGGTTTTTCTGGATCGTTCGAAGCAATCTTTTCAAAGAAAATATATCTCTCGACAGAAATCGGATCTGAATTCGGGAGGCACATGTTTTTATGAAGACTTTAGATGAGTAAGTCGATAGACATTAATTTTACCGTCTACTCAAACCCGCGTACTTACAAAATGTAGCGTTTATAGTAATAAGAGATAATGTTGTATTAAAAATACAATGTAGCTTCCCTGTGTCTTTTCTACAAATATTTTCATAGCAAGTGCTCTGACAAGCTATTTTCCCTGGTGCCCCAACGGCATGAATTTAATCGTGCGACTAGGTTGGCACCTAGGTCCCACCCTTTTACTGTCGAAACAGTTAAATATAACCGCCTATTCTACTCCAACAGCTTCTTCTAACGAACTTCCCTGCAGTGGAACTCCCTTCATCTTACTTGATTCCCTGATAACTATAATTCAAAATTTAAATGAAATGCCAATCGACATCTTCTGAGGTCTTGATCTTGATCCCCGTCCTTCTATTTATCTTTTTCCTCAAACACCCCTCTTTACTTTTACTTTCTGTAACCCCCCCGTGTGCTAGTGGCACTTCCGTCATGCTTGGGGTGAAAGGCTGAAAAAAAAATTCTCAAATAAATATATATATATATATATATATATATATATATATATATATATATATATATATATATATATAAATTTGTCCACACCAGTAGCACCACTCGAAGTTTCATGCACAATGGTGGTGGATTCAGGGTGATATAATTTAAATTTTGTTAAATAGATCGGGGTTATCGTAATGATGAGGCACTCCATATTTTACACAGGGATTGTTGATGTTTTTTTTTAAATTTTGTATTTAAAATAACCGTAACTAAAATATATTAAAAATAATTAAATTTATTATAATATTTATAATAAATATTTAAATGTGAATAGTTATCTTTATATTTTAATTCTACCTTTATAATGTAGTAAATAATCTGTATGGATGCGTGTGTGTGTTTTTCTGTTTATTTTACATATAAAATTCCTAGGTTTGTTGTAATATTTATTATATTGTATTTATAGATTTATTTACACACACACACCTAGAAACCTATGTGAAGTGGTTTGTTAATTTTAACGTTTCAAAAACGAAACTGTTCTCTTTTACCCATCTGAAACTGTTCTCTTTTACACACCTTTTTATATTCCATCAGCATGGCTGATGCTAGCCTCCAGGAGACCGGCTCATTGCACTTTGTTTGACTAACGTTTTCAGCTGACATGAAGTAGGAAGAGTATATTGAATCCATTACTAAGCCAGCAACTAAGAAAGTTGGTTCAATTTTTCTCACCAGGATCAACCTCACGTATTTATAAATCTATTATTGGCCCTTGATTTGAATATGGTTGCCACATCTGGTCTGGTATTCCTGCTATATATTAAAAGATTCTTGATAAAATCCAAAAAAGAATCTGCAATATTATTCTTCCTTATGGCATCTCGTATTCAGTCTCTTACCCACCGTCGTAATGTTTCTTTCCTGTTACTTTTCGATAAATAATTTCATGATAATTGTTCTGATGAACTTTACTCTGTGATATCTAGACTTTATGAATTTAAACGCGTTACTAGACTGGCGACTGCGTCTCATCATTTTACAGTCGAAATATTTAGTTATAACCGTAAGTTCTATGCTAACATTTTCTTCTATCAAACTTCTCGCTTGTGAAACTCCCTTCCAGCTTCTTGCTTCCCAGACAACTTTGATCCTCAAACATTTAAATGCAATGTACATCGTTATCTTCTGTCTTCATAATTCTTGTTCTTTTATTGTCCTCTCTCCTTAATAGTAGACTCTCACATATTCTCTAACACTCAGTAACGTCCAAGAGGATTTATTGCCTTGCTTGGGATGAAATGATTAAAAAAAAAGAAACACACACAGACACACACACATATGCATGTGTGTGTGTGTTAATATGAGTGCGAGCTTAGATAAATATCTAATTTTACTTGACCATTTCAATGTTGGTGCTTTTATACACTGTTTGCAATCAGAATTTCCCTATACGAAGATATGATATCTGTAAATGTAATTCGTACTCTCTTATCTTTTCTACGGATTTATATTATACATACATACATTTATACATACAAATTCAAGTAAAAAAAAATTAATAGGCATATTTTGTATATTAGTTCCACAATGTTCCGGTACGCGGGAGATTATTGCTACCGCGAGACCAATTGACAAATATCCGGCCATCGCTTCCGGTTGAAATGGCAGAAGTCAAGCATTAAAAAATACTTTTTTTTCTCTCTTTGGCAATGAACGCCTTCCCTAGACTGTCAAATAGTCACCAAGTTATCAGAACTAGTTTATGTGTCCTGGAGTCACGAAACAAGTAGAAAAATCAAGGTCTTGCATGAACAAGTCCTAATGAACGGGATATTTATTGTTGCAGTCTATTTCACATATACAATCGTCCCGTGTTCGAGCCCAGCTAAAATACAAGATTTAGAATGCTGATTGTCTTGGTAGATAAAAAAGGTCTTAAAAGAATGGTGTAATACAATTTTCATTCCCTTATTTCTATCTACTTGGCCTTGATTATGCCTGGTATCAACAAAGTATTAACTGAAAAAGCTTTATTTACAGGGAATAGATTTTGTGGCAATATTTCCAAACTATGTCCAAAGTCAGTGATCGAGCCAAAATGTTTCAATTTTCAATGCTGATTTTTAAAGCAAGCAGGTACTTCCTAAGATTAACGTAACATAACCTTGCTCGCTTCGTTTCCTCCTCATTTGGTCTTTTGAAGTTTGAAGCTTAGGTGTTATAAAACAGATGACGACTATAATAAGAGTTGCAATGGCAAATCTTATTTGTGGAGAGCAGAGTATTATTAGTCTTCTTTTATGCACCATGTCCTTTCAGGTCGTGGATGATTATAGCTGCTCTGTGGAACCGACACTCTCAAGAGGGTGTTTTCCTAATCACTACAATCTTAACCTGTTCAAATACAGGATTAACAGTTATCTTCCCTACATATATCCATAAATTGTACATCTTAAATTTTGTATAGGGTGAACATCAATGTAAAAAAAAGAAGAAAAGCATATACTGTAGGGTTTAATTTCAGTAGCTTGAATATACAACGAACAGAAATTGAATTCCTTAATAAAGAGGATCTCATATTTAACATTGCAATTTTAATATATATATATATAGAGAGAGAGAGAGAGAGAGAGAGGGAGAGAGAGATACAAACACACATAAGCTGATTCTATAAAGAACAGCCACCTGCGCCAATGCAAAGCTCTTCAGTAAAATGAATTGGAGCCCTCTGACTGATTGGTGTTTGTTTACATTCGTAAAAACAATACGCCAGAATTAGCAGTTTCTCTCCACTTCAAATAGAAAGTTAGTAAAGAAAACCTCCATCAATACCGAAAAAAGTTACGACAACTACTGAACTTGAGAAACTTGTTTTCCTGTAAAATTGTTTAAAGAGAAAGATTTTATAAAAGTCAACCAAAAGCAGTAGTCGCTGTTCGGTCAATGAATGCCAAACGTTTCCTTGTAGGGAAAAAGCTAATAGTACGACTAATTTTGCACTGCCATATATATATGGTACAAGAACGCAAGCGCGGAACACCCAGTGAGAATCAATCTCACTACACAACAGTAATGGGTGATATGAACAAGGATGCTACACAGCGAGGCGTCTTATTCATCCTTTCTTCTACGCTAATATGTATCTGTTTTTTTCTCCCTCTCTCTCCATCAGCTTTATAATTCTGTGTGTGTGTGTGTGTGTGTGTGTGTGTGAGTGAGTGAGTGAGCGAGTAAGAGAGAGAGAGAGATAGATAGAGAGGGAGAGAGAGTAGACTCATAAATTTACAGGTTCATGTCCATGTTGCCTTTCACACCCGCACTAATGCACCGAAGGATCTGTTAGTGTTAAGTCATGTTTATATCCGCTTTATTCCTTTAGGCTTTGTACTGGTGATGTTTGAAGTCATTAGTGTCAGCGTTAAGATTAGTAATAAGAATCAAGTGATATTCTTACCCTTTTTAACAACTTCTTCTTTATTATTTTGGAATGAGATTACCCACACTAGTCTCTTTCTACTCACCCGTTTTCTTTTACCCGTTCACACTCTCTCTCTCTCTCTCTCTCTCTCTCTATATATATATATATATATATATATATATATATATATATATATATATGTTTCAGCCCTCTTAACTTTCTCCATCTCCATCACTTTATATATCTAGGTTTTCTTTCTTTATCTCTCTTCTCTTTTTTCGTTTTCTTTCTTTTCTCTTTTACTCTCTTTGGATCACGCTTCCTTTTTTCCTTCTCTCTTTCACTCTCGATCATCTGTTTTCCTTCTGTCTGAATACCAATTATCTTTCCAATATAATTTGGCATTCCACAACAATCTTCCATTGTCGATCTCGTCTCTCTTTTCTCATTTCGTTTCGTCTCTGCTTCCTCTCTCATTATATCATTAGCTCTCTTTTTTTTTACACTTCCAATTTTCCATACCTATCACTCCTTTCATTTCCACTTTTGCTTTCACCGTCTATTATTCTTTCTTTCTACTTCTTTCCCTCTAATCTGATCGTTGTTTTCTCTTTCACTCACAAGCGTCTATTTTTCTCTTTTTTATCACTTGTCTCTCTTTCTCTTCTACTGTTTCATAATTTCTTACTCTTTCTTGTATTTTTCTTTTGAACGTTTCTTTTCTTATATTTTATTTCGTTATTCTCTCTCTCTCTCTCACACTCTCTCTCTCTCCCTCCCTCCCTCCCTCTTTCACTAATGCGCTATTTTAACAGTTCACGTAAGATAATTTTAATAAAATTGAGTTTTGTCCGCTCAATTTATCAGATCCTTGTGGTGTCACCTACGCAAGCACTTGAAGTGGTTTCTTGCAATGGAAAGTATGTGTGTGTGTGTCTGCGTGTGTGTGATTCAGAAAGACAGACAGAGAGAGGGAGAGAAGTTTAGAGAAAGACAGAAGACACCCAGAAACTTTCTCCGTGTGTGTCTCGTTTGTTGGGCAAGAAGGAAACAGAAGCACCGTGGAAGATATGTACATGTATGCAAAATGCGTTTTCCGACAGATATGATAGAAAAAACAGTAATTCCGACTTTGCTAACATGACACTTCCCTGTAGCTGAATGGTACACCACATCAGATCAAATGACAGTTTCTGTATAGGAATACAGGTTCGATTCCTGTCGGAGAACGCATATTTTCTAGGAAATTTCTCAAACATTCAGGCAGATAAATGTACTCAATAGTGTTTAATTAAAAACAGAGCTATTACTTAAATAAATTATATCTATAAAAAAAACGCATAAACATAAAATGTATTAATTTCATTTATATATATATATATATATATATATATATATATATATATATATATATATATATATATATATATATATATGCACACACGAGTGGCCAATATTATATATATACATACATATATATATATATATATATATATATATATATATATATATAATAGCTGGCCACTGTATTCGACTAAGGCGACTAGCCAATCCCAATTGCAGACTCTCACTCAGGCACATTTGTGCTTATTCAAAACTCACAGAGCCAACCTGTGGTTTATACTCCAACTATGCTGAGCAGAGCGTGTATTCTAGAACGATCAGCAATTTGAATAACACCAGCACGCTCAAACACAAGGCCACGATGACTTGTGACTTCGTGCTAACACGGCTATCAGTCTACCCAACTTCACTCACAAGGCTTGGGTCAACCCATGGTTTTCGGGCACTTTCCAAAGGTGCCGCACACTGAGATGGTCCCTATTCCAGACCGATAATACCAGAAAGTGTCCTTCCTGCCAACAAATTGACCCTGGTGAGATTCGAACCCGGGTCTCATGGTCAGAAAGCGAACGTTCGAATCACACGGATATATATATATATATATATATATATATATATATATATATATATATATATATATATATATATATATATATAAATAAATTATTTGGTGATCCATATGATAATTCCAAAGGGATATAGATCCAGATAGAGCCCAAAGTAAGAACAGATTAAATTATAATTAAGAAAGCGGAAACTTTAGAAATTTATAGTAATATTTTATTTCGCTAGACCGATGTTTCGGATTTGCTTCATCAGACCAAACGTTTTAAAAAATAAATGGATTTAAACATAAATTCAAAATGGGGAAACGAGAAAGAAAGAAAGAAAGAAAGAAAGAAAGAAAAAAAAAGAAAAAAAGAAAGAAAGAAAGAAAGAAAGAAAGAAAGAGCAAGAGAATTGGGGCGAAACGGAGATATATCTGTCCGGTAAGATATAGGGAAGGGGGTAACATAGACGATGAAACAGTAGTGGTTGAAATTAGACAGGTTGACCTCTTTTTCACCGGATATGGAAAGTGAAGTAGAGAGAGTATCTTCAAAGGGGAACAGAGGAAATAGACAAAGGAAAAAGAGCAAGGGAAAAAGAAAGGAAAGAGGGGAAAAAAAACAAGAGGAAGAAAGGGAAAACTTGAGAGATGCATCGGAATTGGTCATCTTCGTTATTTACAATTGAATATATTTGAAAATTTTCTTTTCAAGTAGTTATTTATACTCGTATCATTAAAAAAAATATATATCATTTATGTGCTATGTGTGATACATGCATAGGCGATGATGTATCTTTCTTTCGATACATGACTGACGAGGCAGATTTTTTTTCCCGAGGTAGGTTGCCATTTCTTTCTGCGGTAGACCAGCTGCCATCAAAGGCTACAGAACCCGGTCTGTCTTGCTATTTACCCATCTTAATAAATATAAATATGAATGAACCCTCTTCTGGGGAAGAAGAAAATGATTCATACCTTTCCCAAGGGTATTAGTACGTAAGTGAATGTAATGGATTTGACTGGAATTCGAACTCGGTTTCCTCAACCCGAGCCGCTATAGAACCCGGTGTGGAGAAGAAGATTCATGCCTTTCCCAAGGGTATTAGCACGTAAGTGAATGTAATGGATTCGACTGGATTTCGATTCCTTAGGCGGAGCCGCTATACATTACTCCACCGTACAGGTGATAAATAAAAAGTAAATTAACGAATAATTTTAAAAAAAAAATTTTTTTTTAAAATATATCTATGTATATTCAGTTGTATGGATATGAGTTTGTGAACCTGGGTTTCACGCTTTTGCGATCATCAGACAAACAGGTTTATCTTTTAAAATTGTAACTATTTATGCTTGTTTGACTATGTTTGATTGTGGGAAGAGGAATCTACTTCTGTGCTTGTTTGGGGTGGTATTATCATACACATAGACACACATACATAGAGGTATTTTAGTTCACACAAACACATCCATATAAACAATCTGAGGCTAGGCGCATATACATATCCCCGCGTTCGTGCATACATACATCTATTTCAGTGTCGAGACTGTAGCTTTTATTATATGCAGCGATGTTCCTTTCAACGAGGAGCCGATAGGGGGTGTTCTTGACGCTTTTCAGACCTATCGCATTACACTTCCTCACACACGCATACACATACACACATGTAGACGCGCACATGCATTCCTATTGGTCTGACTCTTTCAACACCACTTTGGTTAAGCTGATTTCCGTTTGTGGGCATGGTGATGATGTTTATATTTTCAACGCTAACTGCTTGTGTGTTGTTGACGATTGTGATTATGCTAATAGTGATAATAACGGTGATATTAATTATTATGTGTGTGCGCAAGCGCGCGCGCGTGCGTTTGTGTGTGTGTGTGTATGTGTTTCGTTGAAAACGACCGACAAAGTGTGGTGGTTGAATTTTTTATATAATTTCTCGTCTTCTTATAAGTTCTGTCTTTTGAGGACATAAATTATATAAAAATTTTCCGGATGTTTTATATATCCAAGTACTTTCGACAATATTGTAGCCATTAGCAAGGTTGAATTTTGTTTTACTTTTAGCTGAATAAATGCATTATTTTATGTATGTATCTAGGGTTATAGGAATCTTTTATTTTCCAAAGACAGCACATTATGACCGTATTCATAGTTGATATGATATTTTTCTTTTCTTTTTTAATAATGCTTCCATTATTTTTAGCCTTTTTTTTACATATGGATGATGCTATTATATTTCTATTATCAACAAGTATGTTACGGATAGAATTTGTTAGGTCTACATGTATATTTAAATGAGAACTAATTGAGTTATAGTCAAAGAGATGTAACGTGAGTCTTCTTCTTAAACATGCAGTATATCCAATATAATTATTTACAAATTTAGATTGGTCAAGAACACAGCTCATTGAAGATGAGTTTAGCGGTTTTAAATTTTTTGTAATAAATAATTTAATTTTTTTTTTGTTTTTGTCAACTGGAGTTGTGTATTTCTTTATGATGTTTCCAAAAGAAGATTCGCCTTGCTTATGGTAACTATGAATTTTATTATTGTAGACTATGTTAATGTTATTGTTTTTTCTGTGTGCTTTGTGTTGCTGTTAGTTACGTTAGAAAGAAAAAAAAAGTCTAATATAGTCATCTATAAGATGGATTGAAAAACCGTTATTAACAAGCGTTTGTTTCACGTTTATTAAGTTCTTTATGGTCATCAGAAAAAGGATGAGCCCGAAAAGCGATTTGCAGGTCGGGAACACTAAAATCGATCAGACGCGGAAATTTAAATATCTGGGAAGCGTCTTGACAGAGGACGGTAAGTACGACACGTTGACGTATTGGGATGGCCAAGGACACGGTCCAAAAACTGGGCAGAGTATTGCGAGACAGGAGGATTTCTTTGGTAACAAAGTAAAGAATACTGAGCTATGACGTGACATCTGTCCTTCTTTACAGAGGCGAATGTTGGACGATTTCCTCAAATATGAGGAAGAGACTCGAGGAGAGGGAGATGTGGTTCTACAGAAGGATGCTAAGGATATCATGGACCGAGTGTTTGAGCAACGAGGAGGTCTTAGAGAGGTTGCAAACAAGGAGGAAGCAGCTGAAGTTTCTGGGACGCATAATGGGAAACGAGTGCCTGGAGAATCTGATACTCACGGGTCGAATAGAAGGAAAGAGAGACAAGGGAAAACAACGCCTGACATACCTGGCGGGCTTAAACAAGTGGATGACAGAACGTGGTCTGGGGGAGGAAAGAGAGAGAGAGGGAACTTGTTGAGAGCTGAAAGGGAAAAAGAAGAAAGAAAAGCAGACGAGGGGATGAATTCTCGTGCGGTCGCATAAGGGAATTTTTTTAATAACACCTATTTTATATCTGAGAGGACATTGGCTAGAAAAACTAAGATGGCAAGAGTTTTTACTTGTGGGTTTTTATGTAAAGAAGTAGTGAATGTATTTTCGAATGAAATTTTGAGATATACAAATATAAAAGCATCATCCACATGTACAATAATGTTAAAAATAATGGAAGCATTATTAATGAAAAAGAAAAAAACCAACACTCAATAATATCAACTATGAAGAGAGTCACAGCATGCTGACTGTGTTTGGAAAATAAAACATTCCCATAATTCTAGATACATATATAAAACAATGCATATACTAAGATAAAAGTAAAATAAAATTCACCCTTGATAATGGCTAAAAGTATAGCCGAAAGCGCTTGGAAAACATTCGGACAATATTTATATAATTTTTGTCCTGAAAAGAAACATCATACGAACACATTAGAAATTATACAAAAAAAAAAAAAAAAAATCAAACATCAGACTTTGCCAGTTGTATTCAAAGAAACTTGCCTAAACTTTGCTGCCCAAATACACAATTTTTATCGATATATTTAGGTAGCTCCATTTTCTCGCTGAAAAGAAAAAAAACTTCTACGAACGCAAAAAACATTTGATAAAAAGCTTAATCGCGGTACCTTCTCAGTCGTCTTCAATGAAACTTGTAGAAAGAATAGATTGCTGCCCAAACACACACACATGTATATAGCTAAATATATATATATATATATATATATATATATGTGTGTGTGTGTGTCTGTGTGTGCGTGAGCGTTCCTGTATGTGTGTATGTGTGTATGTGCTTACTAAAAAAGAAGAGAAAAACTTTGTTAACGTTGTTCTTATATATACTCGAATTCGACGTATGAGGGTCAAGCAGATCAGTTCCTAGGAAACCGACAGCCCAGCGACAGCACATGAGATTTGATTATAGTGGTGAAGGTTTCGTGCAAGACCATCCACACTTTTTGAAGGGCCGAATACAGAGACCCTTTTGAATTCAGAGTTGTCCTTCTCCTAGACCAGTTACCATGCAAGGCTATAGAACCCAGTCTGTCCTGCAATTTACCCATAACTAGAGGGGGAAGAAGAGGATTCACACCTTTTCCAAGGGTATTAGCACGCAAATGAATGTAGTGGATTCTACTGAAATTCGAACTCGGCTCTCCGATTCCTCAATCCCAGCCGCTATCCATTACTCCATCGTGCCCCCTCCTTATATATAATGTGGCATGGACTAAATTTTTCAATAAATAGAGCAATGTCGCAGCTATTATCCCAGAAGTTGCACGTCGGATCAGTTCTTTTTAAATCAAATATGTGGTGCAGTACAATTTATATTGCATAAATCATTCATACAAAAAACAGATTAGTGAAGTTAATGATATAAATGGCGAGAATACATCTTCGCAAAAAAATTTATTAAAATTGAACAATTCAGTTCATGCTACATCGCCTGAAAAAACTACTACAACAAAAGAATTCTTCAATTACCATATTAGTAAAAAAACGCACTCTCTTTTAAATTTTCCAAAAATTCAACCTTAGCGTTGCGACAGCACGCGCTAGAATTTCTTGCAGTTAACAATAACATTTCTAAAAAAACATATTACGATTCACATCTAATCTTTCGTGTCTCGTTATTACCTGGATGTATTTAAAAAAAAAAAAACAAATCAATTTCCATGACTGATGATGTCTGTATGAACCGATGAAAGTACTTGCAAAAAAAAGACCGTATACATGTTGAATTTATTAAAAACAGGGATCACAATATTCATCTAGAGGTTCGTTGGTTAATGTAATTTTAATAAATTTGTTTGCGAAGATGTATTCTCGCCATTTATGTCATTAACTTCACTAATCTGTTTTTGTATGAATGATTCATGTAATATAAATTGAACTGCACCACATATTTATTATATAATATATATATATATATATATATATATATATATATATTTGTGTGTGTGTGTGTGTGGGTGTGTGTGGGTGTGCACTAGGAAATAAAGCCCAATGAAATGGGAAGAGAATGAGATAGAGTGAATTATGAGATTCGATGGCGGTAAAGTAAGTCAGAGAGACAAGTAGACAAATGAATATGTCTGTCTTATCAAACTTGAGAAGTGGATGGCGGTTGTTTGTTATGAGAAAAGAAAATTCCGAAACATCAGTGCGATATATATATATATATATATATATATATATATATATATATATATATATATATATATATATATGTAAAGAGACAGAGAAAGAGACAGAGAGACAGAGAGATAAGAAAATTTCATGATCTTTTGACTTTAAGAAATAAATTGT